ATATACAAACCACGGTCTCTCTCTCTCTCTCTCTCTCTCTCTCTCTCCCTGTGGGTGTGTGTGTGTGTGTGTGTGTGTGTGTTTCAATCAAGCATATACAAACTACGGGCTGCGCACCCGTGCCCTCACAGTAAGTCAATGCTGCTAACACGTGACCAGGACCAACCTGACCATCTCAGCTGGTGCCACATCTCAGCTGGTTGGCGCCGGGGCTGCTGCAGGAGCTCAAGGGATTGAACCCAGGACCTCCTGAATGCCACGTGTGTGCTTACCAAAAACCAAGAAGTCAGTGACAAAATTGGGCATCGCCTCACCACTCTCGAAATTTGCAAAATGAGAATGAGCTTCCCGCTAGAACATAGCCAGATGCACCCGCCACATTTCTGTCTTTTTCACATTTCGAAAGTGGTGTGGCGAGGCCCAAGGCGTCAGACCACAAGTCGTTCTAGCCGAAATTCTTTTCACATACGTCCCGGAAAATTCTGGAAACTCGGCGTTATGAGTGGCAGGGAAGGCATCGCCATAGTGCCGTGCGGACTGGCTCTCAGCTGCAAGGCTCCATACCAAGGGACATACCACTTGCATGCAGGTTCGATTTCGATGGTCCTCGTGTACGACGTGCGCGAACAGAAGCCAGAGGTTAGTGTCCACCATCATCTTTACATGCAGAGAGGCTGGAACAGCACATCAGATAGATATCTATCTACTACGTCGATTGAAAAAAGGGGATCAGATCTAGTTCGTCAATTGAACAAGACATCAGATCAAATACGTCGATTGACTCTCTGTCTAGAGGTCTCGTTGGGTATACGTCGGACATTGCACGGCATTTGTCAAGCTTTCAGTGGGCACCGCGGTGGGCATTCTTTGGAGTATAAGGAACAGAGGGAGGAGAGGGTGGTTGTCGCCCAGGAGCCGGGAGGGGAGAATGGCCTGGACCCGTGGCGAGGATCGAGTCCCTGTGTAGAGCTACGATGGCTCACGATTGCGGATGTTCGTCAAACCATTATCTGTCTTTAGTTGAGAGAGCTGACCAAACTGGGAGCAAGTACTTCAGGAAACGAGGAGGAGGAGGAGGAGGAGGGGGAGGAGGAGGTGGTGGTGGGCTTGGGCGAGTGGGATGCTCGGGCAAACCACAGCTTGGGGAGGAGCAATCTCTACGGCCAGTTGACAAGCTCTACCGGTACACGCATACTCACACACACCGCGCGTTCAATTCCCCGCTGAAAACCCACCGGCTGAGACTGACCAGAGTAGAGCGTTGTGTTCCCATCTTCAACAGTGCAGCTTTCGATTGCGAGCTGCAAGAGCGATTGAAATTGATGCGTTCGACTGCAGTAGCGGTCCTCGAGAAGTCGTCGGAAGAGCATGGGTTGGAATTCCGGGCAGCAATGCCGAATGCACTGACAGTCCACTTGAGACATCACGTTAACAAAAATCTATTAACGCAGATGCGCCTTTTCACCGACTGCCTCAAAGTCTGGGCGGGTTTCAAGCCGCATAACGATTAGACAAATTCAAGTCAAAAGATTTGTCTGGACTCGTGGCACTGAAAAAAGCCTCGGAGGGAAACGGAAAAGGAGACGAGGGGGAGGAATCGAATCAACGAACGGCATGGTCATAATTACTTCGACGACTGCAACCATAGGAGAAGGAATGAAAGCCAAACTCTGCTCGGCATGGTGATTGATGCAAAATCAATGCAATTAGTAGAAAACAGAAGAGGAGAGGGGAGGAGAGGAGGGGAGAAGACGAAATACTTCGGACACAAGGATGCTTCAATCACTATCATGCAGATAAGTACTAAGTGTTACAGGTCGTGAGCATGGTGATCCATTCGTGTAACTTGGGATGTGGCTACACATCACATCAGTCATTCTCAGTTCAATGAGAAGCGGATAAGGCAGGATGACAAGCTGGGTTCGAGAAAAAACTGATAGTGGAGCAGCTGCGAGCTGCAACAGCAGCAACTGCATTTCTATTTTTGAGTAAGACGTTGTTATGACATGTAAGGTCAAACAGGAGTGATGACTTACTCAGTGAGCTGCTGCTGGCCAGGCGCCAACAGCACTACCGCAGCAGAATGGAGACGCGCCTCGGCGCGGTCCCAGCATGATAGACAAACTTTGAGAGCGGAGTGAAGACCGGAAACGTTTGAGACAAGGCGATTCTCTCTCTCTCTCTCTCTCTCTCTCTCTCTCTCTCTCTCTCTCTCTCTCTCTCTCTCTCTCTCTCTCTCTCTCTCTCTCNCACACACACACACACACACACACACACACACTTACACACACTTACACACACACACACACTTAGACACTTGCACACACACACACACACACACACACATCACATCACAACAGACACCCACACCCACGCAGACACACACACAGATAGACACACGCACAACACGCACAACACACACAACACACACAACACACAACACACAACACAACACACACAACACACACAACAAACACAACACCCACAACAACAGACAGAAACACTCTCTCTCTTCTCTTTCTATCTATCGACCTCTCTCTCACACACACACGCACGCAGACTCTCTCTATGTCTGGGACACACCGGCTTGACGACGCGAATGCTGAAAATATATGAGATCTCAGCCCTCTAAACAGATCAATCAATCAATCGTAATCAAGCATTCGGCCACTGTCATCAACCAATCGATCAAATCAAGAGAAGACTAGTCGGTCGAGCGCCCCACTCCATCAATTGCCAATCCGGTCCAACTTGCCCTCGACGAATTCCTCGATTTCCAGAGGACGCGAACGATCACCATCCATTTAGCGAAAAAAAAGAATGATGCACAGCGCTGTCTTTCGCGAGTGGCTGACAAGGTCTAATCCGACCTAATTCATCAGATCGAATCCACAACAGAATCTGATCGAATACAGTACGAACCTATCCCGATCCCGATCTTGCTCGAAGAATACAGGTCGGATCGGAAGCAGAACATTTGACAGGAGCCACAGGGAGAGGCAACCCTTGGGAGACAGAGAGGCTCCGACATGAACTGCAGAAGTGCCACGGCAAATCACTACTTCGGGACTAGTTTCAGTCTCAAGTAGCGTTAAGAATCAATTGCGCGCCCTGCCTGGCCGGCTGGTATGAAGACGATCTATCCATCGATCTGGTCGAGGCTTATCCCTCTCGCCCACGTGGCGCCCCCGCAGTAATCATCAGCTAGTATCGGGAACGGCTGTTGGTATTTCATCACCCCGACCGCCTTGTCCTTTTGACTACGCTACATGCTGGGCACGCAGGGATAGAGATCCCCGATTGGATATCCTGAATACGATTTGCAGAACGAAGGAGAATCACCCCGCCCACCTCTCCGAATTCGAGTCCCTGCGCTCACGATGCGCGGCTGATTACCTTCTCCAGGACGCTCGTGCGACGTTCGACCTCCCCTTCCCCCCCCTCCCCCCCTCCTCTCCCCCCACACCATCAAAAGATGAAGACTCAGCAGCAAGCAAAGGCAGATCTGACACTCGGGGGCCTCTTCCTTCCATGAGCAGCCTGGCTAAACGTTTTTGAGTTTGAAATCTGGAAAATTACTGTAATTCCGAAAAGCTGTGGGGTACGGAAAACCACCGCCCGCCCGTTCACTCTTTTCCCCATTAACGTTCGTTGTTATACTCACGAAAGATGCCCCATAAACGTTGACGTCATCTCATTAAGCTCACCACGGTAACCTTTAACATCCACGTGGGCGGCCTTGTACGCAAGAGGTTCTGAACGGGGGGAGTTATAAGGAAGAAGATAAAAAACTGAATTCATTTTTTCCTGTTTTTCTTTCTTTTTTTCTTTCTTTTTTTCGCATTTGCGCTCTGAAATTCGTGTGACAATATATATGATGACGTTGACGTCAACGTTTACGGTATCGCCGTTCTGCAAGAGGCGACGTCAACGATTACGGTATCGCCGTCCTGCAAGAGGCGGGAATGGGGGATCGGACGGCAGAGGATCTCGCTGAGGGAGGTGCAGCAAGACTTTTTGGCGGGAAGTTGGCGGGAAGCGGTGATAGCTGAGAGGAGAGGAGAGGGATATGCGCGCCAAGGGGGATGCACGCCTTATTTTCAATGAGCGAGCAGACGTGGTCAATCGGATCGGGGGGCTGTAGTCACACAGAGCGGGAACTGTGCGGCAGGGAGGACTTGGTGAGCGGGCGGTGCGGGAAGACTTTTTGGTTGGAAATTTGGGAAGAAGCAATGATATCTGAGAGGAGAGGAGAGGGATATGCCCGCCAAGAGAGCTGCGCGCCTTATTTTCAGTGAGCGAGCAAACGGGAATCGCGATCTCGACTTCACTCTGCAATCGACTCTGCATTTCTACCTCTGAAAGCCAGTCGCCGCCCATTGCAGCTTCGCCGCGTGGCCTAGGATCTATTGACGTCCCGAAGTTGGATAAGGTCGAAGAGAGAGAGAGAGAGAGAGAGAGAGAGAGAGAGAGAGAGAGAGAGAGAGAGAGAGAGAGAGAGAGAGATCTTGTCCCCTGGAAATGAGGAAACGCCGCGTTACTTCTCCGATCTTTGTTGATGTTGAAAAGCCATCCACGCCTGAAGGCGGGCGCAGCGCACGCGACCACCTCTATGCCCCCCCTCCTAGGCGATCGCGATCGGCAGCTGGCTGTTGCCCCGCTTTCCGGCCCCCTGATCGCGATCGCCTATCCTGAAGCCGGCTGTTGCCCCGCAGCGCAGCGCAGCGCACGCGACCACCGCTATCCTGCGGCTGCTGCTGCCCTCGTTGCCCGCTGCGCAAACCCCGCCTTGTGGAAGCCCTTGTGTGTCACCCGCCCAGCTTTCCGTGAAGCGCTCCTGCTAGCACAGCGGAATCCTTTTGCAGGGCCTTGCTCTGCAAGCAGCGCAGACAGTGGAGTCGCGCGGCCTTGCCGCGTTATGCGCAGGAAGGAGTTCAGGAAGGGAAGGGGAGGGGTCCCCTCTTGACTTGACAACCTATCTACATCTTCGTGTAGTGCGTCGAAGCCTCTCTCTCTCTCTCTCTCTCTCTCTCTCTCTCTCTCTCTCTCTCTCTCTCTCTCTGTGTGTGTGTGTGTGTGTGAAGCGGGCGCTATTTAGGAGAGAAGAATAGCAGCAGCAGCTGTGGGAGCAGGAGGAAGAAGAAGAAGAAGAGGAGGAAGAAGAGGAGGAGGAGGACGAGGAGGAAGAGGGGGTGGAAGGCAAGGAGGAAGAGGAGGAGGGGTAAGAGGAGAAAGAGGAAGAAGACGGAGTGGAAGGCAAGGAGAAGGAAGAAGACGGGCGGAGGATTAAAATAGTCAACCGAGGAAGAGGAAGACGACGACGACGACGAAGGCGAAGATGGAGGAAGAAAGAGCAGCAGAGAGAGAAGAATCAACGGCCGTGACGAGAACGTTCCTCCGGAAGAAGAATCCGACGAAGTTGAAGGTCGTGATTCTCGCGACGAGTTACGGCAAAACATTGGCCAAGGATATTGCCGACACCAGAGAGTATGAAAATCTGATCATCACTCCATATGGGAAGAAACGATACTTGGCGAAAGCTCTTGTGCCGCTCAACGGTGTCCCTTTGCTGAGTCATTGGATGGAAAGTCTTCGCAGAGTCAAGCGATTACAGCCGTTAGAAGAGAATCTGTACATCGTTTGTAATGATCTGACGAAGCCGGAGTTCGATGCGTGGGCGACCGCAAAGATGCAGCCTTCAGTACGGGGATTGACGCGCGGGCGGCAGTTTCCCACCGATCATATCGTCAGCACCGGGAGCAAGTATGACAACAACGAGGCCAAGGAGGAGGAGGAGGAGGAGGAGGAGGAGGAGGAGGAAGAAAAGGAGGAGAAGAAGAGGGTGAACTGCAAGTTCGGGAACAATTATAACAAGAACAAGGCCGAGGAGGAGGAGGAGAAGAAGGAGGAGGAGAAAAAGAAGGAGAAGAAGAAGGAGGAGGAGAAAAAGAAGGAGAAGAAGAAGGTCAGATGCAAGTTTGACAACCACAAGGCCAAGGAGGAGGAGAAGAAGGAGGAGGAGGAGAAGAAGAAGGAGAGCTGCAAGTATGACACAAATAACGAGGCCAAGAAGGAGGAGGAGAAGAAGAAAGAGAGCAGCAGCTTAGCGGGTGAGGAACCCAAGAAATCAGACGTGCAATCCATCGTCCATTTGCTCGAACGGAAGTGCATTGACGAGACAAGCAAATCATACCTTCTTGTCATCAGAGCCGACAGCATCTTCTGGCCAAAGTTCAATCTTGAAAAAGTGCTCGAGAATGCAATTGCCAGATCTCGGGACACTATTACCTTCACAACCGAACCACACGACGACCTCCCTCTTTCCCATTACACCCACGTGGAGTTTGACAGCAACAGCAACAGCAACAGCAAACCCGCCGCCAAGCCGGAGCCCACCACCTCTGGTTCCACACTTCCCCCGGCCCCTTGTGGGCAGTCAGGGTCTGTGCAATCTCCTCCCGCCCAACCCCAAGCCAATCAATCTAAGCCAATCAGTTTCCCATGTCTCGAATCGCAATCCCGAGTGTCTGCGGTGTACAACAGCCCCCCGCTTCACTCGGCAGAGGCAGTCTTGACCCCTGTGTATGTGCTCCGTCCTTCCAGCATACCTTACCTGCGGGAATTTCTGAAAGGTAACGCGATCGAGCCCTGTCACGGCGGCGGCGGCGGAGGCGGCGGAGGCGGCGGGAATCAGGCAATGATTCACAGCAGCAGAAGTGGGAGCAGCGACATGGGGGATTTCATAGCCTTCTTGCACCAAAAGGTGGCCGTCTTTGGGGCCGAAGTCTACGGAGTTCTGAGCGTTCGAACACTGCCGCACCTTCGATTCACTGATAGGTTCTTCAAGTACTATTACTACGAGCTGCTTCAACGAAAGTCGACACCCCGATGGCGGCCTGACGCTGGTCGCATCCTGGACTGGGAGGAGCTCCAGCCCCCGTCGATGATGACAACGGTTAATAACCAGAACGCCAAGAGCAATGCAAATGACGGCGGCGCAGATCGAAGAAGATCAGGCAAAGATGAGGATGAAGAAAGGTGTAGAGAGCTGGAAGCACGCATCCTGGAAGGCGCGAAGGGACATGGGAACAAGAAAGGGGAGGAGGGGGAGGGGGAGGAGGAGGACGAGGAGAAATTGAAGAAGCCCCTTTCCCCTGGCGCGGATTGTGGAGAGACTCCTCCCCCCCGTCGTCATTTTCCATTGTGTGCGAGTTCTATAGATCAAGACAGACGGGAATGGCAATGTATCGTCCATGAATTCCGTCAGCTTTATGCTCGCATGCCTCCTGAAAAACCGCTTCCTGAACGATTTGCTGATCCCTACTCGTTCAGGATTAGACCAAGACAGCAGCATATACTCTACAGGACTACTAATAACATGTATGGTGCAACCGTGCCGAGTCCACTTGACATGCCCATGCGATGGGCCGGGTCGTCCGCGGAGTTCACCAGCAGTTTCATTACCGGCAGCTATACCTTCAGCGGTCTAGAAACGTCTATCCGGAAATCCCAGATTCACGATTCCTCCCAGGACTTTTAACAAAGAGCGACGAAAATTAGTTGAATCTCTCTCTCTCTCTCTCTCTCTCTCGCTCGCTCGCTCGCTCGCTCTCTGATTCTCTCTCTTGCTCTTTCTCTTCCACTGCAGGAAGTTGTCCTGTCTTTCTCTTTCTCTCTCGATGCCTTTTACCCGTCTCCCCCCTTCATTTGCGAATGATTCTCTCTCTCTCTCTCTCTCTCTCTCTCTCTCTCTCTCTCTCTCTCTCTCTCTCTCTCTCTTATGCAATGCAGGAAGTTGTCCTGTCTCTCTCTTCCTCTCTCGATGCCTTTTACCTTTCTCTCCCCTTCATTTGCGAATGACTCTCTCTCTCTCTCTCTCTCTCTCTCTCTCTCTCTCTCTCTCTCTCTCTCTCTCTCTCTCTCTCTGTGTCTGTCTCTCTGTGTGTCTCTGTGTCTCTGTGTATATATTTGCCTTCGATTTCAGGCGCAGAATTCTGTGATTTAGCATTTTGTTAAGCTTAAGGGGATCACGAAGATTCCATCTGTTTTTTTTTTTTTTTTTTTTTTTTTTTTTTTTTTTTTTTTTAAGGCTAATTCTTTTAAGCCCAACCAATTCAATTACCTGTCGAATCTGGACAGGACGGCCTTTCAGGCCTTTTTTATTGTCATTATAGTATGGGTTTAACGGAATAGGGAGGGGGGAAAGGAAAACGAGAGGCAGGTTGCCAGTTTCAGAAAGCGCAGCATCGTACATTTCACAGCCTCACCATGATAGGTCACGTTATTCAAGGACAACAAGGTTACACTAAGCTTGTCAAAGTGGGGAGTCTGAAGGTTTTCGCCGAGGAACCCAGAAACGCCTTCTTACTGCGCGCTGCGCTCTTGTCTCCACTGCAGAAGAGGGGGGGGGCAGGGGAGGGGTAGCTAATCAGAGGGCCAAGACATGAGCATCGGAGGAGAAATGATTGCACAACGACACAGATCGAGAAAGACGTGTTGTCGTTCGCTCCTTTTATATGCAATTACCGCTGATCCTCAGTAATGAGAGATGTTAATTGGCTGCGCAACAAGCTATATGCCCCTCGCTGCACTACCCACCAAATGTGTAAAACATAGAGTGCATTTTCAGGTAGACTATGGAAAGATAAAGCCACCAACGTCTTGTCTTTCTGGCAATTGACGAATAGCCCTCGCTTTGCTTCTTGGGCAGGCGCGAGTCATTCTCAGGGCATACTCACAGTAGAACTTTTTCGCTTATTTCGGGACAGAATTGCGGCCAGATGCATATATATATGTTCGGCCGTAAATGAGGTCAGATAGATTTGAGATAGTGCTAGTAGTGTGAGTACGCCCTCAATGTAAGTGGGCGATTGCGCGACTGAAAACGTGTTCTTGCGTAGTAGGTAAAATCCCTGTAGTAATACCTTTTCTTGGCCTTTTGGCTAGGATGAAGAAGTGGAGTATCTGTTCTGATCAGCAGTTAAATATCTGATCCGTGGTTCATCAGGCCAAATATATATCTATCTATCTATATATATATGAGTCGGTGAAACTCCGACGAAACAGTTTGTCACAGCCCCTCGTTTGTTGTCCTCTTCTCCCTCTCTGCCTACGGTTTACCGGGCAGTTCTATTTGACGATATATATATACTGTTTGTGACGTCACAAACAGAACTGCCCGGTAAACCGTAGGCAGAGAGGGAGAAGAGGACAACAAACGAGGGGCTGTGACAAACTGTTTCGTCGGAGTTTCACCGACTCATCCCTCGTTTGTTGTCCTCTTCTCCCTCTCTGCCTACGGTTTACCGGGCAGTTCTATTTGACGATATATATATACTGTTTGTGACGATATATATATATATATATATATATATATATATATATATATATATATATATATATATATATATATTTGTAGGAATCGTCATGTCCAAGGATCTCTGCTATCGTCTGCAGCCGAACAGGAGGCCCGGTCATCATCGTCATATAAAGGCTGAAAGTTGCGCCAAATACAGCTATAATGAGAGGGAGGGGGGGGGCACTATTCGGGTGCCGAGTTAGTAATCATCATGTCCAAGCATGTCTGCTGGAGCTTTGCTTGCAAGGAAGAACAGTGCGTGCAGAATTGGGAAGATTAGAAAGGAAAAAAAAAAAAAAAAAAAAGAATTGCGAAGATTTCAGATCTTTGCGGATCTTGTGCGTGCGTCCGTGCGTGCGTGCGTGCGTGCTGTGCTGTGCTGTGCGTGGGTGCGCACACGCGTGTATGTGTGCGCATGTGCGCATGTGTGTGTTTTGTAGTCGCTAAACATGAAAAAAAAGTTGGCTGTGACAGACTGTTTCGTCGGATTTTCACCGACTGATCAGCAGGTTGAAACCCGACAGTCTGCCCACGATGCATTTGACTCATACGAAAGGACTCTCCACCTTGCCCAAAGTCAGCCATACCCTTGAGAAAAGTCTGTCCTGGATGCATTCGACTAATGGATAAGGACTCACCGTCTTACCCAAAGTTAGTGATACCCTTTTCTCTGTGTGTGTGTGCGTGCGTGCATGCGTGCATGCGTGCGTGTCTGTGTGTGTCCAATATATCCCATGGTGTGCTCACCATGCACCCCGTGGAACCCATGGTACACCCCGGCCACGCATGCGTGCATGCGTGCATGTCTGTGTGTGTCCAATATATCCCATGGTGTGCTAACCATGCACCCCGTGGAACCCATGGTGCACCCCGCCCTGCCGCAACCAAGCTAACTCGGTATGTTGCCACTCTACTACTTCTCATGAAGCTACCTCCTACGTACGTGGTTATCCATGACCAGCTTTCCGAAGTGCCAGAGATATAGGCAAGAGGGCATGGGGGAGGCGGGAGGGCAGACAACATGCAAGCGCTCCAGCAGGCAAACCAAAAAAAACAAGTCCCAAAAGGATCGCAAGACCAGGCAGGCAAGAAAAGCATCAAGGCATGCCAAAACCAAGCAATCAAAAAAACATCAAGGCCTAGGCTGGAGGGCATGGGGGAGGGGGGAGGGCAGACAACATGCAAGAGCACAAAACAGGCAAACGAGAAAAAAATACAAGTCCCAAAAAAATCAGAAGACCCAAAAAATAAATAAAAGTTGATGATGACAGATTTTTGTCGGAGTTGCCAACTCATCAGGAGGCTGAACCCTCAGACACTTGCCAACTCATCAGGAGGCTGAACCCTCAGACACTCTGCGGAATCCCTGTATTGATGGTTGGGGTCATCAACCCTTTGACCCATGTTGAAGGCAGACTGTCCCCAAGCGGGACATAGCAGCCGGCAGCAACTCAGCCAAGCACCAGGCAACGCTGCCCGAGCAACCCAACTGCTTATCACCAAAGAAGACTGCAAGAAAAGACAGGGCAAAAGGACAAGCAGCTCGGCAACCGTGCAATGAAGTGCAAGGCAACATCAACAAGGAGACCAGGCTACAAAGCACGCAAGCAAAGGACACAGAAGGCCGACAGGGCTAGCGGACGAGCAGCTCGGCAACGGTGCAGTGAAGCGCAAGGCAACACCAACAAGGCAACCAAACCACAAGGGCAAGCAAAAGACACAGCAGGCACGGCCTGTGAAGCGCAAGGCAACACCAACAAGGCAACCAAACCACAAGGGCAAGCAAAAGACACAGCAGGCACGGCCTGCGGATGGGCGGCAAGGAAGCTGCTCAAGCAGAGCAGCGAGGAAGACCTGTGAACCACGCAGGACGGGCATGTGACGCGCCAGCTTCCGATCCTGCGCCATCTTCCAATCCCCTTCTCCCCCCCCCTTTCTCTTTTCAAATTATGGTGTCTTGCAAACAGGCCGACAGGGCCTCTCTTTTTTGTATTTCCATGAATTAAACCACCAGTACCTGGCCCAGCTATCGAGTCCGAGCCTCGGCCGACCGGTACGCCGATCCGTGCCGAGGCTCGGACTACCGGGCGCAGGCATCCCGAACGTCGGAGTGAAACGAACGAAAAAAACGGGAAAAAAAAACAAAAAAAAAACGAAAAAAAAAAAACGAAAAAAAGTATGGCAGTGTATATTCCCATGCTATAGCGCCAGATTCATTCGATTTTGCTCATCCTATGGAGGGCGCAGTACCATGAGGCCAGCCGCGACCTGCACGGAGGGTCACGGCGAACTCGCC